TCCCTGCCTCTCATCACAGCCCCTTTCTGTCGCGGTCCCTGCGCAGGTTTCCCTCGGACGCTGGGGCAAGCCGAGGCGCTGGACAGGATCTGTGAGCTGGACCTGGTGATCAGCTTGAACATCCCTTTCGAGACGCTGAAGGATCGGCTGAGCGCCCGCTGGGTCCACCCGGCCAGCGGAAGGGTGTACAACATGGACTTCAATCCTCCCCAGGTCCAGGTGAGAGCCCGGAGCATCACCATGAGGGTGCCTGGGAAGGAAAAGATAAGAGAAACTTTTCTCTGCATGAGGTGAAATAATAAAAAAAGCGTTAGAGAAGAAATCTCAGGTCATAAGCACTGAGCACCGGAGGGCTTTGCCCGTGGGAGCCAGCCTGAAGGAGTTGTGCTGCATGTTAATTGGGAAAATTAAGCTGAAAGAGGGGAGATTGAGATGGGATATTAGGGAGAATTTTTTCCCTGTGGGGGTGGGGAGGCACTGGAATAGGTTGCCCAGAGAAGCTGTGGATGCCCCATCCCTGGAGGGGTTCAAGGCCAGGCTGGATGAGGCTTTGGGCAACCTGGGCTAGTGGGAGGTGTCCCTGCCCATGGCACAGGGTGAGACTCAATGGGCTTTAAGATCCCTTCCAACCCAAACCATTCTGGGATTCTATGAAAATGGGATTTATGTTGAATGCCCTCAAAGGATGCTTGGTCGCTGCAGAGCAGGATGCGGCATTTGGCAGTGGGTGCATGGCAGGGAGCTGCAGTGTGGGCGATGGGACTGGCGGTTTTTTGTTTGCCTTCCCACAGGGCGTCGATGACCTGACAGGCGAGCCACTGGTCCAGCGTGAGGACGACAAACCCGAGGCTGTCGCTGCTAGGCTCAGAAAATACAAAGATGCTGCAAAGCCAGTGATAGAGTTGTACAAGTGAGTTGGACTCCGCGAATAAATCACGGTGTGCCTGTAAAAACAGCCACGAGTGCTGTTTCCACCAGCTGGTCCCACATCCCCATCCCAACATCCCAACACGACCCCCGACAGGCTTTGGGGGGCAGATCACTGCGCTCAGCGGCACAAAGTCCAGCCCTTCATTGCAGCCAAGCCCCATCCCTGTTTGGAGGGTGGAAGGTGACGTAAAGAAACTCCCAGCTCCTGTTGGTCTTGCCGGGCTCCATAAATGATTTTTTCGGTGTGGCAAACGGCGCTTGCAAATCCCTTCTGACCCCCTGAGCTCCACTGCGTAGGGTGGGAAATCCCTTTGCTTTGCAGAGGTGCTGCCCATCAGCGCTATGGAACTCCAGCAGAAGGGATGGAGAAGCTCTGAGACGCTTCAGACCCTGCCCAGACTGAGTTGGGAATAGATGGATTGCCAGGGAGGGGGTCAGCAAGCCACTGCTGGAAGGGGGTGAGTGCCTAAGAGTGTTTTTAGAGGCAGAAGTTCTCCATGGGGGGCCAAAAGTGCCCTTGCAGGGAAGGGGGGAAGAACTGAGGCCCTGAATTTCCCATTTGCTTAAGCACATGAATAAATCCTGCTGGTTTACAGCTCTTCATCCCCCTCCTCTCATCCAAAAAACCACTGGTGACCTTCCAGCATCCCCTGCCGACGGCCAGCCTGACCGCTGATAGCCGTGTCCTCAGGATGGGCTGGTGCTGACCTCTCCTCCCATCCCTCTTCCAGGAGCAGAGGCATCCTTCACTCCTTCTCGGGGACAGAGACCAACAAGATCTGGCCATACGTGTACACCCTGCTTTCCAGCAAGATCCCACCCATTCTTTCGGACAAGGAGAACTAAACAGCTTGTGTTGAGGACCGAGAGTGAACTCGATCACGGATTTGGTTTCTCTGCAGGGTTGTGCTTGGATTAGGCGATGGTGTGGTACCTAAAACCCCTTCCCTGGGTGTGCTGGATGACATCGGTGGATGCACGGTTATAGCCAGTATCAGGGCGAAAAGATCTTTGTTCATAAGGTCTGGTCTGCTAGAATTTTTTTTTTCTCTTTTGAGGCTGTAAAGTATTCCTGCCCGTGGTCCAAGTCCACACACAGATCGGTGATGCAAACCTGGGCACTGATCATACCAGGTTACACAGCTTGCCATGATGTCCTTGTCCCCCCATACAAACCCCCGTCTCTGTTTGAGCCTGTGATGTGCCATCCCATTGCTCCACAGCACCGTTTACTGCAGAATACTCTTCTAGGTTGGGTTTGGGGTTTTTTTTCTATAAATTATTTTCTGTTAAATTTATTTCTCAGTGGGAGAGATTCCCACAGAGCCCAGTGGGAACTGGTGAGCAACATGGGAAAGGTGTACGCGACGAAGCTCAGAAATGTGAAGATCACCTTTGCAGCATTCATACGCATAAAACAAGGAAAACATTGGAGGTAAAACACACACTTGTGCTTCTTCCATAGCAAGAGATGGAAAAAGCTGCTGTACAGTCTCGTTTTCATGAGATGCTGTGACACCGAGCAGGATCTGTGCTGGGGACGAGCTGCACTCCTTTGTCCTTAACCTTGTGTATAGCTTTTGCTACCATAAGGTACAGTTGTGTTGTAAGAGTTTCCCCCCAAAGATTTAGTTTAATGTGTGCTTCAGTTTTGGGGGAGAAATCAAGTCATTCCATTTTCTGTACTGCCTTTGTCCCTGAAATCCCCTGGAGATGGGGTGTTCCCTGACATCCCCGGCAGAAGTGATTCCCTCCCCTTGAACCCTGGAGGGATGAGAGCCTTCCTTTCCTCGGGATGCGTGCAGGGGCTGCCGAGGGCTGTGCTGAGGCATTTCCCCAAAATTTACAGCAGCATCTGAGCGGGTGGAGTGGCTTTTCTCAACTGGAAGTACTGTAACCCTCTTTGGTGGCAGGATGCAGTACTCAAGCGATGGGGACGTTCTTTTTTTTGTCTCCTGGAGTTGCCTTATTTTATAGACTATATATTTAAGAAAAAAGCAAGATGTGTATTTTTAAAGGTTTAAAAAAAAAAGCAAACCCCAAAAGCACTGAATTTTAGCATTGACTTTTGGGAACTGTGCACAAAGCTGCTCGTGTCCACAGAGCATGCTGCGGTCTGCTGTGGGGGGCTCCGCAGGGAGGCAGAAAAGCTGCGACTCCCTGACACCCCTTTGATTAATTAGAGCAGCCCGGGCATGTTTCTATTGCTGAAATATCTCTGGTTTTATTTTTGCTTGGGAGAGTGGCCCTGCGGCAGGGACGGGAGAGCTGATGGGATTTTTTTAGGGATGCATGGGCTCCCTGCGCGAAACTTCAGCACATCCCTGGGAGTTTTTTATCCCTGCTGAGCTGCCTGCATCCTCGTGCTATCAGAGGAGCCCCCGATTTTTGCTCTCTTCGTCAGAGGCAGCTTTGCCCTGATAACAGAGCCAGAA